CCGGTCCCCAATGCGCGTATTAATGGTGGGTGGCGCAGTGCACACTGTGTCGCCAGCTACTCGGGAGGCTGGTGTGTGGTGTGTGTGTGATATGTGTGTGTGGTATGTGGTGTGTGTGTGGTGTGTGTGTGCGTGTGGTGTGTGTGTGGTGTGCGTGGCGTGTGTGGTGTGTGTGTGGTATGTGGTGTGTGTGTGTGTGGTGTATGTATGTGGTGTGCGTGTGGTGTTATGCAATTTATCATGTGATTTGTGTAATCATCGTTATTTATTGGTCTGTACGTTCAGTAATGGTGTCTTAGGGACATCTCTGCTTTTTGTTTTGCTTTGTTTTTTTGAGATGGAGTCTCACTCTGTTGCCCAGGCTGGAGTGCAGTGATACAATCTTGGCTCACTGTAACCTCCGCCTCCTGGCTTCAAGGGATTCTCCTGCCTCAGCCTCCCAAGTAGCTGGGATTACAGGTGTGCGCCACTACGCCCGGCTAATGTTTTGTATTTTTAGTACAGATGGGGTTTCACCATGTTGGCCAGGCTGGTCTTGAACTCCTGACCTCAGGTGATCCGCCCTCCTCAGCCTCCCAAAGTGCTGGGATTACAGGCGTGAGCTACTGCACCTGGCCTTAGGGGCATCTTTGATAGAGGCTTAAGGCCATGGACTTGGATGAGATTTCCCAGGAGAAGGTGCAGAGAGAAAAGGAGGCGGCTTGGGTGGAATGCCAGACAGAAGAGGGACTTTGCTCTGGCCCCCGGAAGAAGCTTCGTGGAGGACAAGGGTCTGTGAGGGGAGGAGACCCCAGAGTCCCCTACAAGGGAGGTATCTGGGGCCTGCCCAGCCCTGCTCTTGGGACCCCGACCTGGGCTTTCCAGACAGGTCCGTTTTCAAATCCTCTGCTTACGGCTCCCGTACGCCGTCAGCCGCAGAATGCCAGCACTTAGGCGCCTAAGCTACACTTCCTAGAAAGCCGTTTGCCTCGGGAATGCTTTGCTAGGTCCTGTGTACTGAATTTGGGCTGGAAAAATGTAGCTATAGTTGTAAAATACGTCAGTAAGATTGAACACCTGTAGCCAAGCTTGCTGGAGGGACCCCGGAGTCGCTGCTGCCAGGCTAGACACGGGGGGCCTTTTGCACCCCCAGCACAGGGCCTGGCACACAAGCCACACTCCGTTGTGGAGCTCGGCTGTTTGTGGTCAAATTCTACACTTTCGGCATCTTTTTTCAATGAGCAGGAGCACAGCTGTGCGGCGCCTCCTAAAAGCCTTGGCGAGGTAACTCCTACTGAAGTAGGGCAAACGCTTTTCCCCAAGGGGGAGAGGGGCCCTATTTCTGGAGTGAAAATTTCATGCTCTATATATTTTTGTTCAGTCGTCTGAGCGTGAGTTCCTCCGTCTGTGAACTCTGAGTCTGAGGATTCTGAGTCAGCCCCAGTCACACGCCCGCCCGGTGGAAAACGCCCCAGTCCTTCGCGGGGCAGAGGCGGCGCCGGGAACGGTGCGGCAGCACCCCCTGGTGGCGAATGTCGATGCTGCGCTCCGGGGAAGGCCGGGGAAGCCCTCCTTAGGAGAGGCCCTGCTCGGTTACCCCACCCTGTGTCCCCCTCACCTCCCAAAGGCATGCGGCTTACCAGCCTCAGAGGCTCCCAGCTCCACCCTCTCAGCCAGTCTGGAGAGAGCCTGGTGTGACGGAAGGCAGTGTGGACCTGGGAGACAGGGACTGACACTTAGGGCTCCCTGCTGTTTGTGCATCAGGGAATGTGCTGATGAGGACTCAGATGAATGAACCCTAACCCTAGGCCAGGCGCGGTGGCTCAGGCCTGTAATCCCAGCACTTTGGGAGGCTGAGGAGGGCGGATCGCCTGAGGTCAGGAGTTCAAGACCAGCCTGGCCAACATGGTGAAACCCCTTCTGTACTAAAAATACAAAACATTAGCCGGGCGTAGTGGCGCACACCTGTAATCCCAGCTACTTGGGAGGCTGAGGCAGGAGAATTGCTTGAACCTGGGACGCAGAGGTTGCAGTGAGCCAAGATGGCGCCATTGCACTCCAGCCTGGGCAACAAGAATGAAGCTTCGTCTCAAGAGACTCAGCTTTTTCATATGTAAACAGGGAAACAGGGCTAATAATTAGTCCTTGGCATAACTGTTGTTAAGATACAGTATGTGAATTCACTAAATAGAAGGTAATTATACTTAGTTCACTAAATGGAAGGTAATTATACTTCTTATTGATGTCATAACAACTGGTCAGGCAAAGAAGGGAGTACTGGGAAGTGGGGGCCTGGTCAGGAAAGTCTTCATCAATGGGGAGACATTCCAGCTGGGTTTTGAAGGATGCGTAGGAGTTTCTAATCAAAGGGGGAAGGGCATTCTAGATGGGGGAAATGTGTGTACAAAGGCATGGTGGTAAGAAGTGCTCTAGTGCATTTGGAGAGCTGTAAATAGTTCGGTAAATAGTTCAGCAGGTGTAGCCGAAACTGGTCAGGTGAGCTTGATCAGAATCTCTGAGAGTAGGTTACAGGAATCTGTGTTTGGTAAGAAGATTCCCAGGAGATTCTGAGGCTGACTTCCCACAGGCCTAAAGTCTGGAAACCCATTGCTGTACCTGACATTCTGCACAATTCTCTCTAATCTGAATCACAACCCAGCAAGATAGAAGTAATTTGTCCTTATTTTACACAGCAGAAAGCCAAGACTCAGAGAGGTAAAGCGACTTGCCCAGGATCACACAGCTAAGGTGAGCAAGATTCAATCCCTGGCCAGCTTGACTTCAAACCCCATCCGCACGGTGAGTGCCCAGTAAAAGCCAGTGATGGCCCTCCCTGCCGACGCTCTACAGGCTGGACCCCCTGGTGTGTTGATCCTGTTTCCCTGACTCCATCCTGTTAGGAGCTGAGGGAAGAGGGGTTGGGGCCAGGGAAGCACCTCCTGCGGGCCAGATTGCAATGCCAGGTAAAGAAGTTTCCCTGGTTAGAACTGCTCATTACTAACTAAGAGGAGGAGAGTCCTGTTCTTCTCAGGAATTTGCCAGAGATAGCTTTGTGGGGGTGTGTGTGTAATTTTAAAAAAATCTAAAATAATCTCCAACTTACAGAAAAGCTTCCACTGCAGCACAAATCATGTATTTTTCCTGAATGATTTCAGGGTAAATTGTCAACACTTGCTCCCTAATACACCACCTCCGATACTCCATCACCCTCAATACTCCCGTGTATTTCCTGCAAATACAGACTTTCTCCTACACGGTCGGTCAGAACCACCTTCACTCACAACTCAAGTTCCCGGGGCGCGTTGCTGCTGTTCCGGTCTCCCCAGTGGCCTGATGACTTCGTCACAGTGAATGCACCCAGTTCAAATTGGCATGTGGCTTTCGGTTGTCACATCTCCTTAGTCTCCTAGAGTCTGAAGCTGAGCTCAGTCTTTTCTTGACTCTCATGGCCTTGACACTTTCGAAGATGAAGGGCCAGTTATTCTGTGGGCTGTGCCGCCACTTGAGAGACTGCCGCTCCCTGCGGATTTGATTTGCATGATCTGTCTTGGCAGGAACACCTCAGAAGTGCTGTTCCACTGGACAGGATTTCAATTTGTCCTATTGAAGTTTTTTTTTTTTTTTTTTTTTTGATGGAGTCTCACGCTGTCACCCAGGCTGGAGTACAGTGGCATGATCTCGGCTCACTACAACCTCTGCCTTCTGGGTTCAAGTGATGCTCCTACCTCAGCCTCCTGAGTAGCTGCACTAGAGAAGTGCACCACCATGCCTGGCTAATTTCTGTATTTTTAGTAGACATGGGGTTTTACCATGTTGGCCAGGCTAGTCTCAAACTCTTGATCTCAGGTGATCTGCCCGCCTCTGCTTCCGAAAGTGCTGGGATTACATGTGTGAGCCACCATGGCTGGCTCTGGCTTGCTTCTTCTAAAACTCTCTTCCACTCCAGGTTCCCCGAAGCCTCGAGCACCCCATCCTGGACCCCCTGGAGCCTCCCCTCCCTCTGCTTACTGCCCCCACCACCCACCTCCCTCCACATGCTGTAGAAACCTCCCTGACAAGCTGTGGCAGCACAGGGCCAGCTGCCCAGCAAGTTTCCCGTCCCTCCTGGGGTCACCCAGACTTTACTCCCCTGGGGCTGAGTCTTCCCCACCTCGAGGTGGAGGAGTCCCTGATTTATTAAGGGTTCTGGCCCTTTGGAATTCATCTATAGAGTTGCAAATGGACTGCTGGGGCCGTCTGAGAACGCTGTGATCCTGGGGACTTCACTTAGCGCCCCATCGCCTGATCTCCCTCAGATTCATCTTTCCCTCTGAGTGCTGGTGGCCAAGCAGGCGCTGAAATCCCCAAGAGTCCAGGAGGTGGCGCTGCCAGGTCAGAACTTGCACCCTTTCATGCGAATGCGGCTCAGAGAGGGGAGAGTGCAGGGGCAAAGGGAGGGGTGGGGGCTGCGAACTAGAGGCTGTGCGGTCCCCTGGAAGCATTCTGCCTGTGCACGTGTGTGTTAGCAAACACATACATACATGCCAGCAAATGCACATACCCACACATCCATACCAGTACACACATATCATATATACTAGTAAATAGATACAAATACATACACATATATATACCTCTATATATGCACACGCATACATACCAGTATATGTATACATACATACATGCATAATAGTCTACACGCATATACCAGTATATATGCACATACATACAAACCAGTACATATATATAATATATACACATATGGAAACATGTAGCAGTTCATTGTATCCTCTATGTTCATTGTATCCTCTATGGTTATATGCACACACTCACGAGTCTGCACATACGTGTGTGCGTGTATATGCACACGCCAGTAACTAGGCCCTGGAGTCTGGGCCACTGACTTCCGCCTCTGAGGCTCGGGACGGCAGCAGCTTCTCCTCCATCACGCAGGCCGACTCCAGATCTCCATTCTTTTTGCAGATCTTTTTTTTTTTTTTGGATCACAGGTGGGCAGGATGGTGGCCTCACCTGACGCAGTGCACACCTCCAGCAGGTATCAGATGGACTGCAGCTGGGAGCAAGATTCTCATAGCAATGACAAAGATTCACGACACCCTCCACCACGTAGCTGTATGTGTGTGTCCTCAGATTTCATACAGGGCGACTGTGGTTTTCCCCTGAAAGCAGCAGCACTGATCCCTGCACAGGAGGTGAAGGGGGGCGCTGCGGGAAGGGCTTTGAAACAGAGAGGGGAGCCTGGCTCCTGCCCTGGCCCAGCTGGGGAGCCTGAGGGTGGGACTGTGACTGGGCAGCCTTAAGAAGTGTGGTCAGCGTGCCATGCTCGTTTCCCAGGGTACTCAATGTTGTGGGTCCAGTTGAGATGGAGAGGAGCCAGGAAGACAGGCCAGGCCAGCTCTTTGCCTGGTGGCTGGGGATTTCTGGCCGTGAGCTTGGGGGACTTTGCAGAGCTGGAGTGGGAGGGACCTTTCCTAACAGCGACACCCTGTGGTGTTGGCCGCTGCAACTGACACTCAGGTGACTTGTCTGGTTGTCTCCTCGAGGTGCTGTGACCAGGGCTTGACCTTTGGACTGAGAGAGCATCCGCTGGGCCGGGGGTCTTGGAGTTATTTGGAAGGAGGACCCTGAGATTTCTTTGAGAGATTACCTAATCCAAGAAGCAAGAGAACATGACCTCGCTTTATGCTCCAAGCAGCTGACCTTGGAATCTGGTTATAAATGCATCTGTGCCTTTCTTGGACAAAGTTTTTGCTTCTCTCTCTCTCTCTCTCTCTCTCTCTGTGTGTGTGTGTGTGTGTGTGTGTGTGTGTGTGTGTGTGTCCGCTGGCCCAGGTGAGTGTTCCATCCTCAGGTCCCTGAAGCATATCCCAGCAGGGCAGGCTTGGTTCCAAAGGCCACGTGGGCTGCGTAATGACTGACTGGCCCTGTGCAGCCTGTGGAGCGAGGGCGGAGACATGGCCAAGCTCAGCTGAGCACACCTGGCCTGAGAGCCTGAGGGCCCAGGTGTTCCCTGAGAGTCGAGGGCAGATGTAGGGGGGAGTCAGGCTTTTTTAATCATAGAAGCAACTGCCCGCCTGCCACAGTCAATGCTAAGCTCCTCAAACATCTTGCAAGCTGCTTGCTCAGGCCTCTGACTCAGGATTGAACCGCATGTGGCACAATCCTGCTACAAAGATGCCCACATCCTGGCTGTTCCGGAACATTCCTCAGCCTCACTGGGTGTGATTATTAAAGGTGCAGTATGGACAGCGGCTTGTCCTTTCCACTGAAAGAAGGAACAGGTGTCAGGACTGGAGGGGGCTCGCTGGAGGCAGGTGCTTTTCGGTTACCTGGGTTTCCTGCACCTCTCTTCTTGCAGCATTTGCCTCTGGACGCGTGGCCTTGAGCCTGACCCCTGGAGTTTATCCCAGTGCTTGGTGACGAGACCCCACCTACTGCATAGGAGGACAGGCAGAGGGTCAGCCAGAGCCTGGGATGTGGAAGCGCCACCTCGCTTTGCAGGCTGTGTGTCCTCAGGCAAGTAATCAGCTTCTCTGAGCCCCCTCTTCCATCTCTGTCAAATGTGGACGAATGATGCCTGCACTTTGTCCCTGTGAGGCTATCAGGAGGTGCCCTGGTGTGGGTGGGAGAGCTTGGTAAACAGCAGGCTGTGCACCTGGTGTGGGTCATCAGGCTCAGGGCTGAGTACACAGCCAGGAGAGCTCACCAGGCCTGGGACGGGGCCAGCTGCATGGAGCTGCTGCCCTGTGGCCCTGCGAAGCCCCTCCTGGCACTGCTGCTGATATTGACATCTGCAGATGCCACCTTCTAGAAAGTTCTCCGTCCCCAACATGTCCGGAGTCCTCAAGGGATATGATACTTTCAGTTCCACTATACAGCTTGTTTTGAAAATGAATTTGCTTCAATTGCTCCAATAGCAATCTACAATTGCTAGAGTAGGGAACAATTGGAGAACAACATGAGTTTCAAAGTTCACATTTGCTCTGCACAATTTTGTCCTCAAACGCCAGGCAAATGCAGAGAATGGCACCTGGCTGACCGGAACCTAGGAATACACAACCACACCCGTGCACACACCCTAGGAACACACAACCCCACCCTCGCACACACCCTAGGAACACACAACCCCACCCATGCACCCTCCAGCCCTCCGTTCATAGGGTGTGTTAGGAGTCACATCCATCCAGCTCTGGTGCTAGAATGTTCCCCTCAATTTCAGATCACCCAGCTCACAACCCCAACGCCCACTTCCTCAAACAAGCCTCAAGTCTTTTTAAAGGGAAGCACCATATTAATTTTAGCGTGTATGTATTTCTTAACCATTTAACATATAAAACTGTGCTATCTTTCTTTTTTTTTGAGACAGTTTCACTCTTGTTGCCCAGGCTGGAGTGCAGTGGCGCGATCTTGGCTCACTGCAACCTGCACTTCCTGGGTTCAAGCAATTCTCCTGCCTCAGCTTCCTGAGTAGCTGGGATTACAGGTGCCTGCCACCATGCCCAGCGAATTTTTGTATTTTTAGTAGAGATGGGGTTTTGCCATGTTGGCCAGGCTGGTCTCGATCTCCTGACCTCAGGTAATCCACCCACCTTGGCCTCCCAAAGTACTGGGATTACAGGCATGAGCCACCGCACCCGGCCTGTGCTATCATTTTTGTTAGGTTCAAGTCTTTCGTAAATGTCTTGCTGATGAAGTCCCTAACTCTGTCTCCCTCATAGCCTGCTGGGTCATCTCACATGACTTTGCAGAGTGCAGTGATTTTTAGGGATGTCTGCATCACAGCATAGCAAAATGGACTATTCGTGAATTCGTGGACTGGCCCCGGGTCTCTGCTGCTGCCAGAGCTGTGGGTGAGGCCGCCCGGGTGTCCTGACCCTGCCTTAGGCAGTGACAGCTGTGCAAATCTTTGTGCACACACCTGTTGCTTGTGTTACTGATATCCATGGGGAAGCAGTGGCAGTTCTCCTACACCAAGTGCGGGAGCCCTCCGATTTATGGGGGCTCATTCACTGAATCGTCACAGCAGCCCCAGAAGGTTGGTACTAATAATATCTTTGCTTTAAGATGAGAAAACCATGTCACAGACAAGTTAGGAAACTTGAGGTCTCATAGCCAGGAATCAGAGGAGTCCAGCTTTGAGCCGCCCTCCTGGACGACGCTGCCTCCCCCTGTACCGGAATGGGCAGGCTGCTTCTGCAAAGGACCAAATAGTCTTCTCAGCTCTATGGGTCATGAGCTCTCTATTGCAGATTCCTTTGCAGCACAAAAGCGGCCACAGGTCCTGTGCAAATGCATTAGCAAGGCTGTGTGGGGACATGCTTTTGTTTATGGACACCAAACTTTGAATTCCTTATCATTTTTATGCTCACAAAATGTTATTCTTTTGATTTTTTTCAACAATTAAAATAACATAAAGACCATTCTTAGCTTATGGATCATTTACAAATAGATGGTGGGCTGGATTTGGCCCATGGTCATAATTTGCCCGTATAGATCCCTGCTCTAGAGTGAGAGAATTGGTCAAAAGTGTTCCAACATTTGAATAGCTCTTGAAATGTTCTGGAAATGAAACCATGGGGCTTGCACACATTCACATTGTTAGCAGGATTTTGATGTTCCAGTTTCACAATTTCATGCTTATTATTATTATTATTTTTTGAGATGGAGTCTCGCTCTGTGGCACGATTTCAGCTCACTGCAACCTCCGCAGCCTGGGTTCAAGTGATTCTCCTGCCTCAGCCTCCAAGTAGCTGAAATTACAGGTGCACGCCACCACGCCCAGCTAATTTTTGTATTTTTAGTAGAGAAGGGGTTTGCCATGTTGGTCAGGCTGGTCTTGAACTCCTGACCTCAGGTGATCCGCCCACCTTGGCCTCCCAAAGTGCTAGGATTACAGGCATGAGCCACCACACCCTGCCCATGCTAATTATTTTTTAATGCTTGTTAACATATCAGTTATAAAATAAAGACTTTCCCTCTGTTTTATTGGACTGATACATGTACATAGTTGTAAAATTAAAATAATTACAGCACTTCTAACAAAAACAGCCATCCCTGCCTCACACCTTCTCACCTGAATTTCACTCTCTAGAGGTAAGCATTTTCAACTCTTTCAACAAGCTAGGATCCCCCGCCCCGGCATATTGCTCGCTTGCTTGCTGTTTTTGAGACAGGGTCTGGCTGTGTTGCCCAGGCTGGAGTGCAGTGGGGCAATCACAGTTCACTGTAGTCTTGACCTCTTGGGCTCAAGTGATCCTCCTATCTCAGCCTCCCAAGTAGCTGAAATTATAGGTATGTGCCACCATACCTGGCTAACTTTTGTAGTTTTTGTAGAGATGAGGTCTCACTACATTGCCCAGGCTGGTCTCAAAATCCTGGCCTCAAGTGATTTGCCTGCCTCAGCCTCCCAAAATGCTGGGATTACAGGTGTGAGCCACTGCACCCAGCGTCCCCACATATTTCTAATAACATGTTTCAGTACTTTTTCTTGACTCTTCCCCCTGTTTTAGACATTATTTATTGCCTTCCTACTAATGAAGTTTCCTGGTACACGAAGGGGCACAGGGAAACTCGCCCTGAAGTTGGCTCCCTGGTATAATGAGTATTTTGACTTAAAGATTCTTCCAGATGAACCTGCTGAAAGAGACTTCTCCCTGATCTAGGTAAAGACCTGATGGACCCACCAAGGAGAACTGTTGTCCCTCGCACCCCATCCCGTCTCTCAATCTTCTATCTCTCCCCAAGAACAGGATGAAGTCATTGTCTGCAGTTCCTTTACCTGCCTAAACTCCGAACCCATCAAAGAATAAAGCAATGACCTTTGGTCCCCTCCCTGGGTTTTCATTCACTGAACCCATATTGCAGGAAGAAAGCCTGAAGTGCGCCAACACACCTGGACAGACTTGTCACGAACCACTGTCTGCTCTTCAGGCCCTACAGACTTTGTCCCAGGCCATTGTATGTTCTTCAAATCCTGTATTCCAGGGTTCTCCAGCCCCTGGACCATGGACTGGTACTGGTCCATGGCTTGTCAGGAACCAGGCCGGACAGCAGGAGGTGAGTGGTGGGTGAGCCAGCAAAGCTTCATCTGTATTTACAGCTGCTCCCCATTGCTCACATTACTGCCTGAGATCTGCCTCCTGTCAGGCCAGCAGTGGCATTAGATTCTCATAGGAGCATGAGTCCTATTGTGAACTGTGTGTACAAGGGATCTAGGTTGTGTGCCCCTTATGAGAATCTAATGCCTGATGATCTGTCACTGTCTCCCGTCACCCCCATATAGGACCGTCTAGTTGCAAGAAAACAAGCTCAGGGCTCCTACATGATGGTGAGTTGTACAATTATTTCCTCATATATTACAAAGTAGTAATAATAGAAACAAAGTGCACAATAAATGTAATGAGCTTGAATCGTCCCCAAATTATCCCCATCCCCTGTCCACGAAATTGGTCCCTGCTGCCAAAAAGGTTGGGGATCACTGCTGTGTTCCCCTAAAAATCATTTATTATCCTTCTAAAATCATCCATATTTCCGCATCTCCCTTTCCTCTAAGAAGTAGGGTACATAAGCATCTGTACCCCACTGGGATATCAAATTTGTATGCCATTTCTCCTATTTAAAGAACAATTATAGGCCAGGCACGGTGGCCTATGCCTATAACCCCGGCAGTTTGGGAGGCTGAGATGGGTGAATCATTTGAGGTCAGGAGTTCGAGACCAGCCTGGCCAACATGGTGAAACCCCTTCTCTACTAAAAATACAAAAATTAGTGGGGGTGGTGACAGGTGCCTGTAGTCCCAGCTACTTGGGAAGCTGAAGCAAGAGAATTGCTTTAACTTGGGAGGTGGAGGTTGCAGTGAGTGGAGATTGTGCCACTGCACTCCAGCCCGGGCAACGGAATGAGACAAAAAAAAAAAAAAAAAAAAAAAAAAAAAAAAAAACAAAAAAAAAAAAAAATTTAAAAAACCAATTGTAGAGACGGTATTGTTACGTTGCCCAGGCTGGTCTCAAACTCCTGGCCTCAGGCCATCTTCCCTCTTTGGTCTCCACCGCACCAGGCCTCCATTTCTATCAATCTACTTTTTGTGAGCTGATTTTTCAGTGAACATTCAGAAGGCAAAGGGGAAGTCTCCCCATGGTCCATACAGGCACCTTCTTTCATCCCCCTCCCCATCTTCCCAATATCTTAATATATCGATGAATCAATGCTTACATTATCATGATCAGGTAAGTATTCTTCATGGCTGAGCCATACTGTCTTCTGTACTAGGCTCCAACAGACCAACCCAAAGTAGAGTCAATCATGTTTCTATGTCATGAAGCCAAAACCTAAGCTGTTTACTTGTCTCCTCAAATAACTGCCTAGCATTTTGTTTAATTGTTTACTCTGTTTCCTACATACCTAACAATAATCCATTTCGAAACTATCCAACAAAACTTTAAAACTCTTCTTTCTTTTTTTTTTTTTTAAGATGGAGTCTCGCTTCATCAGTCCAATTTAAAAAAAAAAAAAGAATTCCTTTCTGGATCAAATTATCTCTATCATGTTCCACACACAGTGCTTGGCAGTCAGTAAATGGGCTCTGGAGTAAGAAAAAGACAAGATGTGAAGACCTGGGAGAAAAATCAGACCATCGGACGATAGAAACAGACCCACGGGGATCCTGATCAGGGAATTATCCATGATGAGGTGGAGTCTCAAGGAATGAAAAGGCAAGATTAAGAAATTTTGGCAGAGAACTGGAAAGTATAAACAAGAACCAAGTGGAAATTCTGTGAAAAGTGAAAGGTACAGACACTGAAAATACTGTGGATGGGTCTGATAGCAGGAAATGTACAAAAGGAAGGAATAGAAGAAAATAGTCCAGACAGAAGCACAGAGAGACAAGAGCGGGGAAACGACAGGGTAGAGTTTTAAAAAAACATGGGATAGAATGAAAAGAGCAAACATACCTGTAATTGGGGTCACAAAACAGGAGGAGAAAAAATGTGGCGGAAGCAATATTTCAAAACTGAGAGTTTACCAACACTGACAAAAGGTATTCAGGTGTAGATAAAATCATCCTTACAAACTCCACCAGCAAACCTCCCGAGAAAAGAAGCCCCCGCTGTCACTGAGGTGATGGTTATGATCTATTATATTCTCCCTCCCCACCCCTGTGCTTTTGTTGCCCTTAGTACACTTTTTTTTTTTTTTTTTTTTTGAGACAGAGTCTTGCTCTGTCACCAGGCTGGAGTGCAGGCACCATCTTGGCTCACTGCAACTTCTGCCTCCCGGGTTCAAGCATTTCCCCTGCTTCAGCCTCCCAAGTAGCTGAAATTATAGGTATGTGCACGTCTGGTTAATGTTTTGTATTTTAGTAGAGATGGGGTTTCACCATGTTGGCCAGGATGGTCTTCATCTCCTGACCTCATGATCTGCCCGCCTTGGCCTCCCATAGTGCTGGGATTACAGGCGTGAGCCACCGCACTTGGCCACTTTGTCTTCATATTTATTTATTTTTTGTACTTCTTAAAAAAATTTTTTTTAATTAAAAAAATAGAGATAGGGTCTTTCTGTCTTGCCCAGACTAGTTTTGAACTCGTGGGCTCAAGTGATCCTCCTGCCTTGGCCGCCCAAAGTGCTGGGACTGCAGACATGAGCCAGTCCTCATATTTACTGATGAGTGTATTAGTGCTCTAATGATATGTAGCAAATAACTCTAAAACATATTGACTTAAAACCACATAATGGGCCGGGCGCGGTGGCTCACACCTGTAATCCCAGCACTTTGGGAGGCCGAGATGGGTGGATCACGAGGTCAGGAGATCGAGACCATCCTGGCTAACACGTTGAAACCCTGTCTCTACTAAAAAAAAAAAAAAATACAAAAAACTAGCAAAGCGAGACTCCATCTCAAAAAAAGAAAAAAACAGGAGAATGGCGTAAACCCGGGAGGTGGAGCTTGCAGTGAGCTGAGATCCGGCCACTGCACTCCAGCCTGGGCGACAGAGCCAGAGTCGGTCTCAAAACAAAAACAAAAACAAAAACAAAAAAAAACAAACAAAAAAAACCATAATTACTTATCATGTGCCATGGTGTCCTTGGTTTGGGTGTCAGGAGAGGTTTAGCTGGGTGGTTCCGGCCTCTCAGGAGGCTGCACCTGGACCAGCTCTCAGCCAGGGAGGCGGTCACCTGAAGGCTGTGCTGGGCCCGGTGGGTCCTCTTCCAAGGTGGCCAGTTGGTGCTGGCGATGGACAGGAGGCCTCAGTTTCCCTCCGCAAGGGTCTTGCCATGAGGCTGCTTGCATGTCTTCATGGCGTGGCAGCCAGCTTCCTCCAGAACGAGTGAGCCTGGAGTCACAGGCAGAGGCTAGGATGCATTTGTGACCTTGATGTGAAGGTCACACACTAGCATGTCTGCCGTGCTGTATTGGTCACACAGGCTAGTCTTTTTTTGAGAGAGTCTTGCTCAATTGCCCAGGCTGGAGTGCAGTGGCATGATCATGGCTCACTGTAGCCTTGACCTCCCAGGCTCAAGTGATCCTCCCGCCTCAGTCTTCCAAGTAACTGGGACCACAGGCATGTGTCACCATGCTCGGCTACTTACATTTTTTGTTTTTTTTTTTATTTTATTTTTTATTTTTTTTAGAGACAGGGTCTTGCTCTATGGCCCAGGCTGGCTTTGAATTTATTTTTATATTATTGTGGTAAAATATATATCACGAACGATGCCATGCTAATCATTTTTAGATGTGCAATTCAGTGGCATTAATTATATTCACAGTGTACAACCATCACTACATCTACTTCCAAAACCTTCCTACCACTCTGGATAGAAACTCTGTGCCCATTAATCAATAACTCCCATTCCCCCATCTCTCCCTATCCCTGGTAGCCCCTAATCTGCTTTCTGTCTCTGTGAATTCTGCCTATTCTAGGAACCTCGTGTAAGTAGAATCCTGCAGTATTTGTCCTTTAGTGCCTGTGTTATTTCACTCAACATAATGTTTCCAAAGTTCCTTCATGTTGTAACATGTGTCAGCATTTCGTTCCTTTTCATAGCTGAGTGCTATTCCATTGTATGGACATACCACATCTCCTCTATCCATTCATCGGTTGATAGGCCAGCCTCACATCAACAAGGGAGGCAACTCCATGGGGTTGTGAACACACCAGGATATGGGGCTCACTGGGGGCCATCCTGGGGGACGGCTGCTCTAGTAGATTTTGTGTTCAAAGCCAAGTCTCCGCTAGAATTCAACCTTCACAAGGTCAAGAGCCCAGTCTGCATTTTTGCCCCACTTCCCAGCAGAGGGCCTGACACAAAGCAGGTGTGCAGTGGAGCATGGAGGAGGCCGTCCACTCACTGAGGAACTGCAGAGGGAGACGGTGCTGGTTGCTGGGGTCCAGGAAGCTTCCAGAATGAAGGAACAACAGAAAGAACTGGTAAATTTGACTTGAGTGACAATTTGACTTTTGGGGACAAGATGGAAATGTGACCAAAGTCAGCATATGTAGAGATGGAAAGGACCCCAAAGATCATCCAGGCCAACACCCTTGTTTCGTTTCAGGCAAAGAGGTACATCCATTTCCTGGGGCTGCTTCCTTCCTTCCTTCTCCTTCCTTCTCCTTCCTTCTCCTTCCCTCTCCTTCCCTCTCCTTCTTTCTCCTTCTTTCTCCTTCTTTCTCCTTCTTTCTCCTTCCTTCTCCTTCCTTCTCCTTCCTTCTCCTTCCTTCTCCTTCCTTCTCCTTCCTTCCTTCCTTCCTTCCTTCCTTCCTTCCTTCCTTCCTTCCTTCCTCTCTTCCTCCCTCTTTTCTTTCTTCTTTCTTTCTCTCTCTTCTCTCCCTTCCTTCCTTCCTTCCTCTCTTCCTCCCTCTTTTCTTTCTCTCTCTTCTCTCCCTTCCTTCCTTCTTTCCTTCCTTCCTTCCTTCCTTCTTTCCTCCCTCTCTCCCTCCCTCCTTTCTTTCTTCTTTCTTTCTCTCTCTCTCTTCTCTCCCTTCCTTCCTTCCTTCGTTCCTTTCTCTCTCTCTCTCTCTCTTTCTTTCTTTCTTTGACAGAGTCTTGCTTTGTCGCCCAGGCTGGAGTGCAATGGTGTGATCTCGGCTCACTGCCACCTCCGCCTCCTGGGTTCAAGCGATTCTCCTACCTCAGCCTCCCAATAGCTGGGATTACAGGCACCTGTCACCACACACCGCTAATTTTTGTAGTTTTAGTAGAGATGGGGTGTCACCATGTTGGCCAGGCTGGTCTCGAACTCCTGACCTCAGGTGATCTGCCCGCCTTGGTCTCCCAAAGTGCTGGGATTACAGGTGTGAGCCACCATGCCAGGTCTATATTTTCAAAGAAAGTCACATTCTGAGGTATTGGGGGGTAGGACTTCAACATATCTTTTTTTGGGGAAACACAGTTCAAGCTATAAGAGAGAATGTGCCCTGTTTAAATCTCACGGCTAATTCATCGGGTCTTTGGAAGACCCAGGACTCACTTCTGTCTGTCTCTGAAGTCTAATTAATACCAAATTCTCTTTCTTATTCATGAAATTCTAGCAGGGTCTGGCTTGTCTGCCATTCCTGTGTACCTTTTATTCAGAAAAAGTAAGGCTCGCGTGACAGATGGAAGATCAGCCAGTTGTCAGTGTAGTGTGTTGCTTTCTGCAAGACAGCCACAGGCGCCACAAACGAGGGGACAAAACAGTTGCATAAGAAAAATGCAGCTCTGACAGCCCTGCCAACGAGCCCTCCAGCTTTACGTAGAGGTTTCCACTCCACGGCGCCCGGGGAGTATTCATGGATCTGCGTGTCTCTGTGCCCTCTGGCAAGGGCAATGGTTTCTCAGGCAAAGAAGGTGGCCGCAGTGTCAGCCAAGCGATTGCAAATCTGCAAAGTCGGAAATGCTGAAGGATGCCGGGTCAGCCGTCCCGAGAGATGCATGTCCACACGGCAGGTGGCTGGATGTGGGGTCAGGGCAGGCTCACAGCCTGACCAGGAGAGTTTTCTTGTTTGAGCCGGAGGGTAGGGTTACTCAGATATGTCTGCTCTGTGCTAGGCGTTTGTATGACAGGGACGAGGGGCAGGCTGGCTTCAGGAACATGTGACTGTGCAGTCACAGCCACACAGGGACTGGTGCGTGGAAGGGCCCTGAGCTGGCTTTGATGCTCTGCTGTCACTGTCTTCATGATATTCGAACAAGGGGCTTGCATTTTCATTCTGTACTTGGCCCTGCAAATTATGTAGTAGGTCCTGACAAGACATCTGTCTCGGTTTCCTGTGCTCATTGCTTATTTGTGAGGCAGGTGGCGCCTCTGAGAGTCTTAAGCCCACACTCTGATGTCTTAGAGAACCCATAGCCAGAGGAAGAAGACATGAGGCTGGAGCTTAGGACCCCCAAAGGTTTGAGTTTCAACATTGCCAGCAACTTTAATAGCTATAAGATCTTGGGCAGGGCATTTAGCCTGTCTGGGACTCAGTTTCTTCATCTGTAAAATGGACATGATAGTAACAGCTCTATCAAGCTCACAGAATTGCTATGAGAGTTACTTCTTGAGAATAAGGACTCAACTTCTCCCTTTTGTACCTGTGTGAAATTCTGCCCAGCATCCTGCATTTAGGAACAGTGCCTACTTGATGAATTAAAACATGAGATAATGGGGGAAACTCTCAGGCAAAGTGTCAGAAATGATGGACTGGCATTATGTTTTCTCATAACACGCTGATGTTTTGTGCAAATCTGCCATCTGGACGCTGCTGCTCTGAGGTTTCATACAAGAGGGAGACAGAGCCTGCTCACTTTGGGACATGTCCTTGAAT